TCACCTCAACTGCTAGCAGAGCACCTCACCCTCCCTGATTGAACTAACCTCGTTATCTCCGCACTGATATATACCTGCCTCTGGAGATTTCCATTACTTGCATCTGAAGAAGTGAGGTTCTTACCCACTAAAGCTTATGCTCCCAGTACTTCTGTTAGTCTCAAAGGTGCCACAGGACCCTTTGTTGCTTTTTACAAATTTATTAGAGTATAAGCTTTCGTGGACTACATCTGAAGAAGTGGGCTGTAGTCCACGAAAGCTTATGCTCTAATAAGTTTTTAATACTACTTCTGCTAGCGTTTAAAATATCCAGCTGCTCATTCATTCTGCTTCTAAGGAGCATTTCCTGCCTACTACTAAAGAAGTGAGGTTTTTTATCCATGAACGCTTATGCCCAAATAAATCTGTTAGTCTTTAAGGTGCCACCGGACTCCTTGTTGTTTTTGTGGATACAGACTAACACGGCTACCCCGAAACTTGACACCATCAGACTATCAAGAAAAATATTTGCACCCTACTTGATTTTAAGTATTTTAAAAACTATATTTGACACATTTTAGCAACTTTAACTTTTCTTTGTAATGAGATGTAGTGACTAGGTTATAAGCTGCACAGTACAGTACACCAGGGGATTTTTTTCTATCTCCTGAGTGTGTGTGTGTGTGTGTGTGTGTGTGTGTGTATATGACGTTTCAGAGACTATAAAAAAACAAATTAATTTATCACTGAAAACAAATCATGGGACAACATCAACTGAAGTAAAAAGTCATACCATCTGAAAATGTACCTATCTTATTACAAATCATTTCTAATATTACCATGGGCTAAAATCTGCCCTCAATTAAACTGCTGCTGTTGCCATTGGCTTTACTGGTGTCAACATGATTGCATAGACATAAGAGAGCAGAATTTGGCTCTTGAAAATAAGTACTGGGTCTGCCATTCATGACTTATTTGCACAGTACCTAGCATAATGAGACCCAACCTGGTGGTGGTCTTCAGACACTACCACAATATAAATTTTTATTTATTATTTGTACTACTGTAGTGCCTAGCGGCGCCAATCATGGACCCAGGGTCTCATTATGCTTGTACTAACACTGAATTTAAAAAAAGTTAGTCACTGCCCCACAGAGCTTCCAATCTAAATATAAGGTGACACAATGGTTGGATACAGTACAAAAAAACAATGAAACAATATTGGTCAGCATGATAGGCGGTGGTCTTAGCCATCAGCAACCTAATTGTTTAATAAGAAAATATTGGTATAACATTTGTCAGTGATTTACATGAAGAAGCAATTGCCCCAAAACTTGTAATTTTTTTAAAATAGTGTGCAGACATTTCATATTTAAGTGTTGGTTGTTATGAGAATTGTAATCTCTCATATTAACAAATTTCATTGGTTTTGGCTCTTGCTGTTATCAGTAAACTGATTTATGCTACTATAATCACTTTGCAAATTTTACATAATTTGTATTAGGGGTGTTATCTTTGATTCTGTCCTCTCTCTGTCCTCTCTCTGCCTTGATGCTTGGATCTACTGTCCAAATCTTGCTGCTGCTTCCTCTGTAATAGCACTAAGATTGCTCTCTGTCTGCATAGTCAAAACTCTTATCCAGGCCCTCATCATCTCCTGTCTTGACTATGACAGCCTCCACATGTCCTTTCAAACCACTGCTGCTAAGACTGTCTTTCTGGTGCTCCAGTCAGACTCTTATCCACTGCCTTGTTTGATGGTTCAGTTCAGTAAGGTACTGAAGCACATGCCTCACTTTAAGCATTGAATAGTCCCACTGAAGTCAGTTGGACTATTCATATGCTTAAAATTAGGCACATGCATGCATAGGCACTGAATGAAGGGCCTGAGTCCATCTGCGGACTCCCTCTTCACTGCATCAAATACAAGCTTCTTACATTTTAAGGCCCTTCTGAGCTTAGCCCCTTACTACTTATTCACTTTGTATCTTACATATTACTATAATACAAATAATAAACAATAATAATTGCCTTCCCCATTATTTTTAGCTATTACTGTGTTAGTTTTAGTTCTCTTGGTTTGTAATGGTTTGTATGTAACAAGTATTTCTCTTTTGTAGGCATCCCAACTTTATTATATGGAATTGGCTCCTGGTTTCTTGTTAGTGTCACAGAGACTGTTCACACAAGTTGTGGCCCAGTTACTATTTATTTTCTGAATAAAGAAGATGAAGGTGCCATGTACTGAAATTGTGCATTCAAGCACTCTCATTTGGTGGGTTTTCACAGCTGTGGGTATTTATGTATTCCTGCTGCTTTAAAACATAAACAACTTAAAAGCAAACCTTTGTTTTCAATGTGTTCCTTTTTAATGTGGTGTCCTCAAAAGACTTCATTTTCCTCTTTTCAGTTACAAAAAACATTCCTGTTTCGGCAGAGGCATGAGATGAATATTGGAGTCAATGAAGATAAGATATTAGCAGCTTTGGAAAATGAATTTACTTTTCTACTGTCCTCAAAAGCGTTAGCTCTAAAGACAGTGATTGAAATGCTTATTGCTGAGAAGAAACTTCTGATTATTTAAAAAAAAAATCTCTTTATTTATATACATCGGATAGGTTATGATGTTTGTCATGTAATCTGAAGGCAAGGAACACATTCTCCAAAAGCATTACACATAATTGTAAATGATGAGAGTTTTAGACTCCGTGCCTCGGTGTTCAACAATATATAAATTGTCCTAGTACCTAATCCGAGTCTGAAGGAATCTGTAATAGCACCCTTCTTTTATCCAGATATATTGAAATGCTCTTTTAACCTCCACCCCACGAATTAAAATCCACATTAACGGAATATGTAGTATGTGTCAACTGAACATTCACATCTAAACATATTTTAAAAGAAAACATCTGAAAACTGGTTCCACCTTTTTCTTTCAATATCTGAATTCACAATTCTGTGTTTTCTTTGGCTATGTTGGTTTAATCTCTCACATCTAAAGCAGTGTAAAAGAAGCAGTTCCCCACACTGCTTTACAGGTCTGAGGGCATTGATCCCCTTAACAGTGTTTATTGTGAACAGAGCTAGAGTTGCTAAACACCGCTTTATCCTCGACATATGCTCTTGCAAAATTTTGTAAACCGCTTAGCACGTGGTTGACAAGCCTCTGAAAAGTGGCTCCTGCATTAATTAACCCAAATTGTAACACTTAGAATTCATAGTGTCCCATATCAGTAATAAAAGCAGATATTTTCTCTGTGCATTTTTTTCTAAAGGGATCCACCAATAATCTTTGGCGAGATCAAACATGCTAAGACATCTAGGTTTGCTCAAAATATCAAACATATCAATTCTGGGCATAAAATAAACATCTGAAACACTTACAGCATGGAGTTTTCTATAGTCGACACAAAACCTTACAGTTTTATCTTGCTAGCACAAATGGATGAGGTTTGGCCTGAGAGAGCCTTGAGGAGTTTGCTGGTGAGGAAGATAGACTGGTATGGCTGGGGTCTGACAGGTCTGATCATCAGCAAAATTCACTCTTGCTGAGGGCAAGGGGTGGCACACAGTGGCTCACAGCTCTAGGTATCCCCAGCAGCATGTTACAACATGCAAAAGACTTTTTAAAGGATAAAATCAGTAATATGACCAATATAATTAACTGATGCAAAATACAACATACATATTCTTATTGAAAATTATTTGTAAGCAGTGAACTGTTCCATGCTTTATGAAAGAAGTGTGTCTCCTTGTCTAAAAGCAACACTAAATAAAACTATAGTCAAAGGAGCACTTATTCCAGTATATTTAGTACTGAAGAATATTCTTGACACAAGTTGAATAAATAGCTTTCACAGAAGAAGAGACAGTGTTACATTAAGCTTCATTAATAATAAAACTCACTATTAGCATTTTGCTAGAATCGCTAGAACTGATTTCCTTTGTAATGAGCAAAAGTTAAATAACTACAGCTCATAAGTTTGAAGTCAAATACTGCTCATTCATTGCTACTGATCTTGTCAATACTTTGCGGTAAAGGTTTGGTCTCAACAGGAGGCTGATGAAATGGTTTTTAGTTACCAGACTATAAATACAGCTTTTCATTGGAGTTGCACCTCCATTCACTGCAGCTTGTTTGATTTCTGATAATGTGTACTGCTGACTTTGCTTACCTGTTTTTCAATAAATGCAGGCAACGTGACTCCTTGTCCATACAGTGATGGGCAAGTCTCCTTAGAGAACATCTTTGACAAACTACCCTATTGATCACTGCAATTCTGTGCTGCTAGCAGCATTAAATAGAGACTTGATTTCTTGTTCAATGCTCTCACTGTGTAACAATTAAGCAAATGTAATATTTTCTTGTATTACATGAAAATCAATAGACCTCTTGCTCTTGTGGAGTTGATCATGGTGAAGGATGAACTGGAAGATGGCTGAGGGCAAAGTTCAAATATAATATCATTCATTGGATTCATTAAGACTTGTTGTGTAAGAGCTGTTGGAGTACTTAGAGGAAAATATGCTATTCATAAAGGGTAGTGCTTTCGTTTACACAAAATGAGACATTTATTAAGTAATGGTGAATAACTATTTTAATTGGCTTTAATCAAAAGTGAAAGATTAAATCTGTCTCTCATTCTCTTTCTTTGCATAAATTCTCTTTCTTTATTTGTGGGGTTCTTTTGGTCAGTCTATGACCAAGATTTATTCTTTAATCATGGTCTGAGTTAAAAATGAAAACACTGTTGAGGGACAAGCTATGTCCCAAGAGTGCTCCCCATCTGGAAAGGCTGGTGACCTTGGTGATGACTTTGGGTATGGTTCCAGGACCAAAGAGGCGCTTCCGAAGCTCTCTTGTGCAGTCCTGCCCATGAAATGATCTTTATTAAGAGACTAGAAATCATAGAAATGGCAGGTAAGGACGGATGGATAATACTGAATTCTATGACATCTTGGCATTGGCATCTTATCAAACCTTTGCTTCATTTGATGGAAAACCATCAATTTAGATACTTGTCTAGTTCCCATCACTATCAGTTCTGGTTCTCCTTGAATCTAAGTCAGCTCTTACATAGACAATCATCTGAGAAGGAACCAGGGAGTTATATTGTAAGGCTATTGCAAATCCATGTGCCTGAAACATGGGGAAGAACCTTTGGGTTGTTTCCTATAAGGGACCTTTGTAGTCCATAGGGCTAACTTGCCTTTATTATATTCACTGCTTTGCCTTCTTGTATAGAACTATATAGTGATTTTAATATTTGGCCTGTTAACCCTCAAAGTGATAACTGGGAATTCTTAAGTAATCAATATAATTAATACATAATCTATAAATCAGGTTACATCTTAGGGACAAGGTTCTGATGAGTGTGTCATCTAAAAGTGGGCATAGATGAATTCCTAGACTCTAGCTTGGTTGCTATCACTACCTATCCCTTTGGGAATATCCTGGTGTAGCAAACAGACTGGAAGATGTGTTGTATTGGTGTTGAAGACAGGTGAATTCATGAAATTGCTCATGACAGAGCCTGATGGAAACATGCAGAGCAGCTTTTTTCAGGTCACTGATTTCAGAAGCTCTACTGATAGTGAAATCTAGAGTCTCCACTCAGAATTTTGTCTTCCTCATCTAGCTGTTTGAGCAAGTGAGGTCTAAAATGGCCCTAAGTCCTCCAAACCATTTTTCCATACTATAGAGTGGTGAACGGCTCTTGTCTTGAAAGACCAGTGAAATCTCTTTCAGGATAATTTGAAGTTTCTTGGCATCTCCTGATATTGGATAGGGCATGAAGAAAGGATGTAGATTAGCCTGCCATTCCAGAGAATATCCAAGGTGCACTGTTTCCAGGATTCATCTGTCTAAAGTTGACTGGGTCCATATGCATGAGAAGGGCAATATTGGTATTATGGCGGGCCAATGGGTTGGGAATGCTATCTATTATGGAACTGATCCAAAACTCATTGAAGCAAATGGGTGTCTGTTGATTTCAATAGGCTAAAGACCAGCCCTGGAGAGCTAGAGGGCTCAGATCTAATTAACATGTGGCTGCTGCATTCCTTCCTTCCCATGCGGTGGTGTTGGGCACTTGCTTGCTGTCCTGAAGGGTGCTCTAATGTTGAGTTCAATTTGCCTCCTCTCCTTTTCAATGTATTTATGGGCCTGTGGGAAGGTCAGTGAGGAGGCACAGTGCTGTTGTGCTTTTAGTATGCTGATGACACAGAGTACTACATCTCACCCAACCCAGTAAGTGCAGTCAAATGTTCTACCTAGTGTGGTGTTGAGATTTGAGCATAGATATTAGCTGGTTGAAACCCAGTCCAGATAAGACAGAGGGGACGATGGTAAATTGGAGGCAGCACCTAGAAGATGTGGTGAGTATTATAGCTGACCCTCTTAATAAGAGTGAGTGACCTCCATTTGTTAGTTTGCAGTTTGGGGATATTAGAAGATCCGAAGTTGCTGTTAGAAAGGCATGCAGCAGTAGCTTGTAGGAAGGCCTTTTTTATGTGGCTCTGGCTAGGGTTTGACTTCATCTTTGGTTAATTAATTTTTGATTTGGGAGCAAGGTGGAGATGCTTTAATTGTTTATGCGACTGTTTTTAATTGACAGGCTACTTTTTGTACCTACTAAATTATATGTGTACAGGCATACATATGTTTATATATCAATACTTTGTCACAGATGATTAAAATACAAAATTACCCTTCACCTTTCTGCTGACTTTGTCTGCTCTGTTCTCATTTGAAACAAAGTACAATCTGCCTTGTAACTCTTGCTTTAATTATCTCTTCACTGAATACAAGGATGATGTTTAAATGAGTGAGATGACATAAGAAGGTAAGGAGCTTTGTTTCACCTCACTTAACAACTAATGCAGATAACTGAAACCTTACTCTAAACCCAATAGATCAGGTAGCTACTTTTTTCAGCACTAGCCTTTTAAACAGTAATGACTACTGGGGGCATCTTAACCTAAATGAGTGCTTAGCATTACATCTTACCTGGGTCAACAGTCTAGGGTATCAGAGTTAAACTGTGTTACTGTAAATTAATGGAAAATGTAACTGCACTTTGCTGAAAGATCAATGTCCAATAAAGGCTGCACAATCAAATCTTGTTGCAATGATTGAGGTCCTTAATTGCCTTTCAAAGATAAGGTGGTAATCAACATAGGTTTAACTGATCTTTTTTACTAGTTCAATTACATGCTAATGACTAGTGCCAAGTCAGAATCTTTAACTACTTATACTTATTAAATCTTATGTTAGTAATGAAAAATTAGTTAAGCTACACAATCAATAAAGCACAAGTCTTAATTATTATATTTCACTTTTATACCTTTTGTGTGTTTGACAAATTTGTTTCACTAGAGATTTCCCACCAATAAGAGGTATTATTAACAGAGACTATATTCCTTGGAGTACTGTTTACTAATCCAAATTGCTAAATCTTAGATGTTTTGTATATTTGTTTTAATGGAAACTTCTTCGCTAAATATCCAGTAAAGCAAACTTCTAATCTTCTAAGCATCTAACTTTATATAAAGATCAGTTTCTGTATCTGATGGCAGCTCCTTTTACTGCGGATCTAAAGCCATCTGTAACCTGCAGGCTGTCAGTTAGAGACATTATCAACTTGAAATCCATCATTTTTGCAAATAAAATATGTTACCAGTAGGTTTGTATCTTGCACCTGCCCCTAAGTCTCCCTGCTAATTTTGTGGGCAATTAATAACATTTTCTACTTTCTTGAAAATATTTTATTCTTCCCTTATTGCTATAATGAAAAACTCACACCAGCTGCAAGCAAACGAAGGGCCTAATCCAACTCTTACTGACTTCAATG